GTCTCCTCCTCAATTGTGGAATATTTCTATTGATGATTATTCAGTTTTCTGGAAAGATACCCAATACATCGTTTTACCTTCTCCTCACCTTCCAAGAGTACAGCACCCAAACCCACATCAATAGACACCTCGAATGGCTTTGTGTAATTAGGTGTGGCTAACACTGGGGCAATGGTTAACACAGTTTTCAGACTGTCAAATGCTTTGAAATTCCTCTGTCCACTGAAAGTTTCTGCACTTCTTCAACAAGTCGGTCAATGGGGCAACCACACTGCTAAAATTTAGTACAGTGTACAAACTTCTGATAAAAGCCAGTCAGTCCCGGTAATTACAGTGCTTCCCTCTTCATCAATGGTATGGGAAGCTTCCCATACCACTTTTGATTTCACATCCTGTGGGGCCATCTGTCATGTCCAATGGCATAGCCCAGGAATGTGACTTGGGCTTTTGCAAATTCACTCAGGTTTATCACCAAGCCTGCCTCCCAAAGTTGATCGAACAATTCCAATAGATGCTCCAAATGTTCCTTCCACGTGTGACTAAAAATCACCACATTGTTGATGTACACCACATAATTAGATAATCCCAAAATTACTTTATTGGTTAGTCTTTGAAATGTGGCTGGTGCATTTTTCATACCAAACGACATGACTTTAAACTGATACAGTCCATTTGGTGTCACAAAAGCCAAAATTTCCTTCTGTTTCAGGTAAAGGTACCAGGCAGTATCCTCTGAGTGAGTCCAACTTAGAAATATAAGTTGCTTGTCCCATCTTCTCAATACAGTCTTCCAAACATGGAATCAGATATGAATAGATTTTGTAACTACATTGACTTTGCAGTAATCCACATAATTATTAGGTACTATCTAGTTTTGGGACCATCGCTATGCATGAGCTCTGTTCATTGCAACTCACTTTGATTATATTGTCTTTGAGCATGGGTTCAATCTCTTTTTGAACCTGACATTAGAGGGTTAAGTCTATAAAGATGTTGTTTATTTGGAAAAGCTTTTACTATATGCCATGTGTCATTAGATTAGTATTTCCCAGCTTATTCCCACATATCTCCCTATGTGATTCAGGTCATTTGATTTTCCTCTAGAAGATAACACAATAATTTATCCCAATTTTTGAGAACTTCCTCCTTGTCCTATTTAATTTGAGGAATGTGTAATTCAGAATCATCTGAACTTGGTTCTGCACTCTGGTTTGTAACCAGGAGAATACATTCTCCTTTTCTTTCCTTCCCTGTCAAAATACCTTGTGAGCATATTCACATGACACAGAGATTTCTTCTTTCTGGTGTTCTGATCAAAATAATTTGCCTCAATCAATTTCCTTTCTATTTGATAAGGCCCACTAAACCTTGACTTTAAAAGGTTTATCTACCATTGTGAGTAACACTAACACTTCATCTCCACTAGCAAAATTACGAATGTTTGACTTCTTGTCTGATTCCTGTTTCATCATACGCTGCACAACTTTTAAATGCTGTCTAGCCAACTCACCTAGTCTATTTAATCTTTCCCTAAAATTTGACACATAGTCCAAATATATGGTCCCTGAACTCTGACTCACCGATTTTTCTTTTTTTTCCCTTCATTAATTTCAGTGGTCTTCTCACCTCATGCCCAAAAATTAATTCAAATGGACTGAATTTTGTAGATTCATTAGGTGCATCCCTAATTACAAAAGTACAAATAGGATTCCTTTATCCCAGTCCTCTGGATAGTCTTAACTATAGGCCCTCAATATGGTCTTTGAAGCTTGATGCTACTGTTGTAATGCTGTTTGCAATTCTGGATAGTGTGCAGTCGGTTTGAATTGTTTCATTCTAAGCTATCCATAATTTCCTTGAATAATTTTGATGTAAAATTTGACCCTTGATCCAATTGCATTTCTGGGTAGTCTGTATCCAGTTTTTAGATAAATGGGTAACTCTTCTAAAACCCTTTTAGCTGTGATACTGCATAATGGAATGGCCTCTGGAAATCTTGTCGACATCTCCATTGTGATCAACTAATACTGATTTCCACTTTTTCATTTTAGGTAGGTGTCATACACAATCAATTAAGACTCTCTTGAAAGGTTCCTCAGATGTGGGAATGCATATTAAGGCTTCTGGTTTTATCACTGCCTGAAGTTTGCCAATTACCTGACAGGTATGACATGTCTGACAAAATTCAACTACATCCTTATGCGGTCCCAGCCAATAAAAATGCTTTTGTATTTTGCATGGCATTTTCCTTACTCCCAAATGACCACCTGCTGGTAATTCATATGCTACCCACAACACTACCTTTCTATGACCCAGCTCCACACTATTATCTCACTTCTTTTCCTCTTTCTTTTGCCTCTAGCTGCTTCCTTTTCAATTGAATTTTTGCCATTTCCAAAGATTCTAATGGCAGTCCTGGCAATTGTAAATGCTGCGCAATTGCCACAATTATTTCCCCTTTCCTCAGACACAGGCAACCCCAACTTTGGCTTGTTTGCCAATTCCAAAAGCTTCGCCTTTCTGTAGAACTCCCAATGTGACTTTTTCCACACCTCGGAAACTCTTCATTACTGAAAGGGTCATTATTACATAAGGCACAGCCTACTCCAGCCAATCGACTTCAAACCCTGAAATAAAAAAATGCCAATACTCACCACGCACTGCCTTTGAATCCAATAACCTTAACCCAAACTAGAATTTGATATTTTGATCCTGACCACGGTCTCCAGTTTGTTATGGGGTAGACCAAACCCCCTCAACATATATTAAGAATATAGACTGGACACCAACTTTTTCTTATTTTAAATGCAAATGCCAGACATTGCATTCCAAATGTAATTCAATTGGTCAAACTACTAATCTTACAACAAAACACACTTTATTCATATACTATAGTTAAAAATACAAAAGACAATTGGAATAACAATGGTGTTGGAAAACTTAACAGGTTATTGAATAACTAAACAGTAACTGTTCCAATATAGTAACATCCCATAAACATCCTTGGCAAACGTAAATTCAGAACAATAGATTGTCTCACATGCAATTCTAGCAGTAAGAAGAGAACTCTAGCCTTTAGCTATACCAGAGAAAGGAAAACCAGCTTCCACATCCAGTTTCAAGACCCCAGCAGCAACTGCTACTGAAAAAAATAAAACTAAAAATCCTGGGTCTGTCAGAGCTTGACCCCACCCATTCAGGCTGCTTTGATTGTTTCAACTTTCTAAAATTAAGCCTCAAACTGTTTACTTTATTGACTGCGTAAACTGCTGGACAGGTCTCTCTCAACCTTTCTTCATAAAAATATCAAGACAAAATACACCTCTTGATGCCATAGTATCATCACAAACTAAATCCATAATCAACTTAAAACCTGGATAAGAAAAGCTGAAAAAAATCATCAAAAGTACCTGCAACATCACTAACCAGTGAGACAACATCTATAGTATCAATAACAAGCAGAGGACTATCAACAATGCCATCAGCAAGTAACACAGCATTAGCAACATCAAGCACATTACAGCATCAGCAGCAACAGGCATAACATCACCTGTGCAGTGTGCCAACTCATTATTGAGGGATGAATGCCAAAATGACAAGATAAAGGCCTACAACCTGAGTAATGTCCTGATTAACATTTTGAGCAAAGAAAACAAGGTCTATCAAACTCAAGCAGTTCTGTTCATTTATTGAAGTTTTTGTTATTCTTTAGTTTACAAATAGTTAAAATGATATAAAGGATTTTTTTAAAGAAAGAGGTTTTGTTTTTATTGTGTATGATTCGTAATGAGTTAGAAAACCATTGTTAAAGGACTAAACATGCTGCAACACCACATTCACTATCTCATTGAACAATGAATATGGAGAGATGCAAGAAATAGACTTATGAAGCTCTGGGACCTTTAGTCTGAAGTGTCATTATTCAGAACTTACAGGAACCAGAAGACTTAACATATACCTTCCATATCATGTGATCACTAATGCCACCAGCAACTGGTCCAGTTCCTTCTTTAAAGCTTCGGAGGGAGCTATACCCACTGTGCAGCCCATGATGGGATTCCAGAGACTCCTTAGGTACTGCTTCCTTAATCAGAGGTTAATGTCCATCTACAGTGACTCTTTGTGATAGTTTGCACAATGAATGTATGTGTTTGAAGAAAATTTAATTTGGAGTAGCATCCCAAACAGGAACAACAGGTCTGAAAAATTAGGATTACAAAATGGGATAGGCAACTTGCTGCTTCTTCATACAGTTATTAGTTGGTGGTGGAGGTGCAAAGTTGTGCCATGGATTACATAGAAAAGACAGCACAGAAACAGGCTGTTTGGCACTAGAAGTCTGTGATATTTATTGTTTTCACAATCTCTAGTCATTCTATGTACCTTATTTCAACCTTTTGGTATATTGTTCTATTGTCTTCTTTCATGTGATTTCCTTTTGAAAGTGTCCAATTTCCCTTAACCACCAGCTGTCGTGCCAAGTTCCACATTCTAACCACTCAAGGTTACAAAAGAAGCTCCACAATTTCCGTTGGAATTATTAGTAGCCTCATGTCTTCATAGCCCCCTATGTTGTATTCTTTAACAAAGTAGATCATTCTCTCCATATCTCCCTTTACCTATTAAGAATTTTTCAAGGCTTCTCTTGTCCTAAAGAGTATACCAAGGATTTTGGTCTATTTTCTTTTTCAAAAAACTGCCGTAGTGAGAGTAAGCGTTATTCTTTTAGTCGAAGGTTGAAATTTGGAAGTGAGCAGCATTTGAAAAATTAAAATTAATTCAGTTAATGTCAACAGATATCTTGCGCCTGCGCACAGGCGACAGGGGACCCTACGGGCGCATGCGTGTTGCCTGCGCCGTCGGTGGGACATCGAGGGACAGGCGGCGTCGGCGTCGGTGGCGGTGAGTGACAGACGGTGAGGACCGGACACTGGGAAGCCCGAATGATCTGTTCGCAGTTACACAGTGTCAGTTTGCTTGCGGTACGTTTAAATGTGAGTATCGCCCATTTCGGTTGATGAAGAGATGCGCCCTCACCCTCTGCCCTCCTGAGACCCGGAGCTTGAGCCCCCCGAGGCAGTTGGCGACGCTCCACCCGTCTTGGTGCAAAATGCTGAATTGGAGCAAGGACCTTACCAGATTTTTTTTTGCATTAAGACTGCATTGTAAATTGACAAATGCAAATTGACAATTGCTGCTTGTAGCAGCCTGGGTTTTGCTTGCACTGTTGTCAGTTGCTTGGAATTAGACTTCATTTTTGTGTTGGAAAATGTGGATATTCTCATTTCACTGCGTGTTCAGTTAGGACATTGGATTTTCGTTCATGTTTCAGGTCTTGTAACAAATTGCAAAGCGAAGCCTTCAACGTTTGAAACCGTTTAGTATGGTTTGAGGGCGTTTTGAAATGTTGTAAAACGGATGCCCTTATTCAAGTAAATAATCAACAACACTTTTAAGTTTATGGAGATGTAATGTTCACGTTATCTGTGTAACTTAGAGACAAAAATTGGTTGTCCGAACTTGTGTCACAACATTCCTGTCACTTCGGGTATCATTTATTATGTAACACCGACTGTGTTTGTAAAGCAAGAGGAAGAAGAACAGGAAATTGCTGCTAACTTAACAGGGGGAGGAATCAACTTTTTGTGCTAAGTGTCATTTTAATAAATCAAGTCCAGAACGTTATTACTGAGAAATGCCTATCTTTCTGAGGGAATTGACTGCTTATTGAACCATAAATTTAACAGCTCCTGCTGTGGATTCGAATAATCTCTCTCTCTCTCGTTCCCCCGCCCAATACGCGAGGGCACCCTGCAAAGTGCTAAATATTGAGGCTCCATTTTTCCTTCATTCACAACAATCGTTGCTAAACTCAAAATGCTGACGAAAATGACTTTTTAAAAAATTTGTTTATTTACAGCTAAGGCAGTCTAAGCAGTTCAAACTTTTTTTGCCAAAGAGCAAATTTAACTGTGACTCGGATTTGAGTCTTTCAGCAGCTGTCCTTCAGTAATCATTCCTTAATACAAGGAGAAGGCAGCTACACAAGTATTATCTGCCAGCTCCAGTAAACACCATAATGGTATTATACTTCATAAACCTTTAAATTTAAGCATGATTTATACGTGGTACAAGCTTGACTCCATGATTGTCTCTAATTCTAAATTATAATGCTGCTCATTCAGTAGAACTCATCAGTACTGTGGAAACTTTGCATTGTTATGATGTAACACTGGCAAACTGAACTATGCTCAAGCCATTAGGTGGTGGGACCCTTGGTCGCTGAATGTCAAAATGTGCACTACACAGAATTGTTTGTTTATTTTTATATGTACTGATCCTCTGCCATTGTTCTGAGTGCTAGCCTCTTAAAAACTTGAGGTCATCTAGAATACTAACATTTTTATCAAAACTCGCTCTTAATCCCTGTTACTGTCATCCATGTCTCAAAAATGCCTCAAAATTCAAACTCTAAAATTTATTTTCGGATCCTTCCAAGACTTTGATCATCACCAATTCTGTTATTGTTCCAGTTCTATAAGCCTCTGAGATCTCTTGTGCTCCTTCAGTTGTGGGTTCCTGACCATCCCCAAACTTATTTTCTCCATCATATTATTCAGCTTGTAGTCTTTTAGATTGGAGAGAACTGACTGTGTTTGTGATTATAAAATATCCTGGTTTTCCGAAAGCAAACGCTGACCATTAATAATATGTTAAATAAGTTTTTTTTTAAATTTGGTTCTTGTATCTAATTTCCCAAAATCCAAATGGAAGTTAAGCTAGTAATGATGAAACCTATTCTTCAGTCTCTAATGTGACATTATATTCAGTACATGGTCAATATATGTCATTAAATTTTTATTTGGCCTTTTATTGTTACTGGGTTGTCCCATTTGAGGATGTTGGATATAGCATTAGTTCTGACAGTGATGCATTGGAGCAGGAGTAGGCTTTTCAGCCCTCTTTTTAAAAAAAAAACTTACAGCTTCTTACTCTTGTTTGCTTTTTTAAGCTTATGAATTTTTGTCATTTCTAACACCAAATTATTCTAACTCAGAAGCTGAGTGAGCTATCTCAGCTGATGAGCACTTGGTTGATGTAATCTGTGCAAGGTGCCCTTTTATACCCTCCCCTCAGTAAACTAATATCATAGTAGTACAATTCATTGATGTGCCTTCCTTAATATGTTATTGAATGAAATGCAAGTGATCTAAGTAACACATTCTTGGTGGTTCAGAAACAACAAACCTAGCTTGTGTAGAGCAGGGTGTGACAACCCAAATTCAACATGCATCTGTACTTAAGTTACTAGTGCTGACCCTTAACTTTTCTTTTGCCAATGTCCTATTTCCTTTCCAGCCCCCCTGAAAATGCAGGAACCAATAAAATTTAGATTTTGTGGTTATTTTTAAAATTTGAACGTCTTATACAGTATATTTAGTGCCCTATTTTGTTCCACCTGAGACTGGATATTAAAATATGAATTGTTTTGGTGTGCCTTGCATGTTTTCTACTAAGCCACATCTCTGCAGCAAAGGCTTTTGGCTGTTTTGCAAAGTATGTTCCAATACCCTCCCTCCTCTTGTCAAATAGCATATTTCTTGTGTCAGAAAGACTCAACTCAGTTTGAGATAGTAGGAACTGCCGATGCTGGAGTCTGAGATAACAAGGTGTGGAGCTGGATAAACACAGCAGGTTAGGCAGCATCAGAGGAGCGGTAAAGCTGATGTTTCAGGTCTGGACCCTTCTTCGGAAATGGGGGAAGGGAAGGGGGCTCTGAAATAAATAGAGAGAGGGGGAGGCGATGATAGAAGGTGGATAGTGGAGCAGGTAGGTGGAGAGAAAACGGACAGTTCGAGGAGGCGGGGATGAAGCCAGTACAGGTAAGTGTAGGTAGGGAGTTGGGATGGGGGTTGGTCAGTGACGAGGGAGGAGTGGGTAGCTGGGAAGGAAGACAGACAGGTCAAGGAGGCGGGGATGAGGCGAGTAGGTAGGAAGTGGGGGTGGAGGTTGGTCAGTGAGGTGGGAGAAAAAACAGACAGGTCAAGGAGGCGGGGACGAGAGGGGGGCTGGTCTTGGGATGAGGTCGGGAGTGGGGAGATTTTTAAGCTAGTTTGCTGTGCAGAAGTCTGATTTGTAATGCAGTGCACTTCTTTCTACTTGAACAGAGACATACAATGCCTGTAGCAAAAGAAATCTTATTAAATAAGTAACACCGAGCATACTCCTAGAACTTTCACAATATAACCACCCCAACATTCAACTTCCCTATCCACTCTGTCAAACAGTATAATTTCCCATTTTCAAAACCTTTTTTAAAAAAAGAATTGTATCACTATAGTTTTTTCCATGACCACCAAACATCTGAGTGATTTAAAGCTAACAAAGTTCTTTTGAAGTTTGTCATTGTTGTCATGCAGGAAATGTGACAAGCAGTTTGTGAAAGGATTCTTCCACAACAACAATGTGATACTGATCAGGTAATTGTTTTTCAGATGTTAATTGTGGAATAAATATTGGCCACAACACACAGAACTTCATGTAGTGCCATAGGATCAGTTATGTCCACTTGACAAGCCAGATGACTTCAGTTTAATATCTCATCTAAAAACACAGCTGCTCTGATACTGCAGCACTCTTTAAGCACTGCAGTATCAGCCTTGATTTTGTGCCCTGGAATGGGACTTGAATTAGGAAACTTCTGATTAAGACGAGAGTGCTACCAACTAGGCCAGGGCTGACAGTTAAAGTGTTTGAAGAAAAATTATCGTCCTTATTGGTTCAAGTAGTTTGCTTGCAACAACACCCTGGAAATTAATGTTTAATTCCTGAAAACTCTTGAAGGATTGGTCACCCAATCAGAACGTTTGTTTTTGTTCTAAATTACGTCATAAGTCTACATTCTTTCTGATTGCAGTTTTCTTTGTAGAAGAATAGAATTGAAAAGTGAAGTGTTGGTAAACCTCTATCAAATATTAGATTTTTAAATTTATTCACAGATCATGGACAATGCTTGTCCTTAACTGCCTTTAAGATAGTGGTGAGTGACTTTTTTTGACTACTAGGCCATTTCTGAAGACAGTTAAGAGTCGACCATATTACTGTATCTGTGAAGTCACACTTACCCAGATAAAGTAAGGATGGCTAATTTGCATTCTTCAGGACATACCATATGGTTTTTTAAGATAATTTGTTACTTTTGTGGTTATAAAGCCTCTGCTGTGGGCTTTTAACTAACTCTCAGCGATTGGCCGAGGCCTCTGGATTACTGATATGTAGTAGTCACTATGCTATCATCCTGGCACTTGGATACCATGTGTAGTCTGGTTGCCATGTTATACTAAAGGTTAGAGCAGCACTGGAAGGCCACAAGACTAGATGATTCTAGAATGAAGTTATACTGTTTGGGGAGAATGAACAGGCTGTGTAACCTTAAAAGAAGTTTTTAATATTGTAAAACATTTCCACTTGTGAGGAAAAACAAAATTAGAGGCCAATAAGGATGTCACCTTGAAATCAAGAGAAATTCAAAACAGCCTTCCTTGAGAATGTGGAACTTACTACTACAGAAAGTGGTTGGATCAAATCATACAGTTAGATTTAAGGGAAAGCTGGATTTAACCTTCTGTTTCTTTCTTGCATGTGTTATGTGGATAAGGTTAAATGGCCGAGGATACAAAGAGACGTGAGGGCCCCATCAAGATCAACATGGGCTAATCAGACTGATTGACCTATCCCTGCAGTGGATGATGTAATTCCCTGTCAAGTGATCATAAGGTCTGTGCTTCATCTTCAAAGGGATTGGCTTCAGGTCATTGTTCGAGATCCCTGCTTTTATCCCAGTCACATGCTACCTAATTGTTGGCATTCTTCTGGTTTAAGCATGTAGGTGAAGAGAAAGTGCTAATACACTTAAGGACTTCTTAAAAACCTTTTCAGCGACAGGATGTGAGCATCACTGATTAGGTCAGCATTTACTGTCCATCACTTAATTCCCTTGAAGAATTCTGGTTCCTATTTATGTTCATTGAAACTTGGAATATCTTGTGGATTGGTATCCATAATGTTGAATTGTTCCTTAAGCATGCATTTGTATTATTCTGGAAGAATAATTAATTTTGATTCTCTTGCCTAGCATTTTAATCCATCGGAAAAAGGAGGTGGTGCGGTCTTCCTATCCATTTGTGTCTCCCCTCCCTTGTAACTCCATTGTTCAAGAAAGTTAGGAGAGAAGGCAAAAATAATAGACCTGTTGGTCTGACATCTGTTATGGAGTAGTTCTTTGAACATATAGTTGAGGAAAAGTGATTGACCACTTAGAAATTTGAGCTGATTGGAAAAAGAAGACCAGTATTGTTTTGTAAAGGATAGGTCATGCTCATCAAAGCTATTGTCATTTTTTTCAGGTAGTAACTAAGGCAGGAGGAGAAAATTCCTACGGGTGTAGTTTATATAAATTTCCGTAAAATATTCAAAGTTCTATTTGAGAAACTTGGCTAAAATTAAAGCTCAGCTGATTAGGCAGTAGGAGACAGTTGAAATAATATGAAGAGTGCTTGAATTGGTGTCTCAAGTATCTGTAACTTTAATTATTTGCTTTATTATGTTAAAAAAAATTTCAGTCCTGAACATGCTCAACAACTGAGCTTCCAATTCCCACCAGGACAGAGAATTCCAAAAATTATCTATTGTTTGAGTGAAAACAAGTCAGACAAAGTATTCTTCTGCATCCACCCTGCTTTGCAGTGGAAGAATTTTGTATATTTGAAAGAGACCATGTCTCATTCTTCTAATCTCCAGAGAATAAACATTCAATTATTTAATCTTACCTCCTTAGGCAGTCCTTCTATCCCAGGAATTTATTGCAGTCCCTCTACTATAAGTATATTTCTCCTCGGGTAAAGATACCAAAGTTGCACATAATATCCCAAGTGTGGCCTTACCAGGCTCTATATAACTGCAGTAAGAAATGTTGATTCCTATGCTCAAGTCATCTGTAATAAAGGCCAACATACTATTTGTCTTAATATGCTGTACCTGCATGTTTAATTTTGAGAATCATGAGCAAGGACATAGAAGTTCCATTAAAGTTCAACCCTTCCTAGCCTCTGACTATATTCTATATTTATGTTTTTCCTACAAAGTGGATAACCTCTCAATTGTTTTTTTGTTCATGGCTTGTTGGTACTGTTAGTTAGGCCAACATTTATTGCTTCTTGTTGCCCCAGAGAAGGTGGTGGCGAACTGCTTTTGTGAACCATTGCAATCCTTAGGTTTTAACAGCAATCACACTGTTATTAGGAAGCGAGTTCCAGGATTGTGACCTAATGACAGTGAATCAGTTTCAAGTGAAAATGATGTGTGGCTTGGAGGGGAACTTACATGTGAGGTTGCTGGGTAGAGAGACAAATGCAGAGGAATGTGTTCTAGAGGTTGGGGCCTAGTCAGCTGAAGGCAGGGCCATAATAGTGGAGCTGTTAAAGTCCAAAACATTCCAAGAGATTACAATAAGACCAGCACAGGCATCTTGTAGGGATAAGGACCAGAAGACATGACACTTGGGGAACTGCATAGCTGGGGAGGGATTTGCAAACAAGGATATGAGTTTTAAAATTCATACAAAATGCTATTTAATGTCAAAATATTACTTGACCAGTATCAGAAGAAGGCCAGCAAGCGCAGGTGTAATAAGTAAATGGGAGGTAGCAAGAGTTAAGATGGGCAACAAAATTTTGGATGATCTAAAGTTTAGAAAGACAGATATTCAAGTATTCTTAGAACAGAGATTAATAACATTGTTTTATGCTCCTGTCTGCACTATTCACACCATGTCTTTGATAAATTAAGTGGACAAAACTGTGGTTGATGCATTTCAATCCAGGTTTTTGTTGAGCAATCCATTTTGGAATATTAAAAAGGGCAGATCAAAGTATATTTTAAGTGGTGTAAACCTGGGAGCTGTGGAATTCCAGAGATTTAGATATTCAAGTACATGTGGAACAAAGTTGAAGGACAAAATAGCCTACTCCTGTGTTTCTACGGATGAAGATGCCCTGGACAAGAGGACATAATCTTAAAGTCAGAGTCAAGCAATTTAGAAGAAAAGAAAGCATCTCTGCATACAAAGGTTGTTGGATGTGTGGAACCACAGCAAGAGATCATTGCTAACACAGTTAATAATTTTAAATCTGCGGTTTTTTTTTTCCCCTAACTGAGAATATTAAGCAAGAAGGACTCAAATCAGTTGGATGAAGTTGGGATGCTGAATGGCCTTGTCTTGTTACATTGTTCCTGACTGAACTTGAGTTATATCACTGTGCAGTGTAGCATACTGGTAAGAAAACATGTTCCCTTTGAGGCTGGATTTGGGGAGAGGATGAGTTAATAGGCTATAACGTAAGGATAGACAACATGATATTCTGCCTACTCTTCTATTATGTCATTAGTACTTGGACCACACAAATAAAATTGGTGCTGGGATTGCACAGCAGGCCAGACCACGTTTATAAAGAGTAGTGTAGGTTTCGTAGTTCACTTGTAATGGTGAATTACTTCTAAACAGCTGCATGCGGATCTTCAAAGAAGGAACCCACTCAACACATCAGGTTTATCTCTTTCAAGCTCAAATTCGAGCAGATTTTGTTTGGGACCATTTGAGACATCAGAAATTATAATGCAGATCACAAGGATGTTGCTAGCGCAGGGAAGCACAAATATAAGGAAATTTTGAAATATTGTGTTTTAGAGTCATACAGCAGGGAAACAGACTATTCAGTCCAACTTGTCCATGCCGACCAAGTTTTCCCACTTGCCTATGTTTGGCCTGTATCCCTCTAAACCTTTCCTATTCTTGTACCTGTCCAAATATCTTTTAAATGTTGTAACTGTATTTGCATCTACCACTTCCTCTGGCAGTTCATTCCATATACGAATCACACTCTGTGTGAAGTAGTTGCCCCAGGTTCCTTTTAAATCTTCCTGCTCTCATCTTAAAAATAAGCTGTCTTATTTTGAACTTCCCTAGGAGAAGGACCTTTGCTATTCACCTTATCTCTGCCACTGATGGTTTTGTAAACCTCTGTAAAGTCACCCCTCAACCTCCTTCACTCCAGGGAAATAAGTCTCGGCCTGTCCAGCCTCTCCTTTTGACTCAAGCTCTCCAGTGCCAGCAATATCCTTGTAAATCTTTTCTGAACCTTCTCCAATTTAATAATATCTTTCCTATAGCAGGGTGACTAGAAATGTACACGGTACTCCAAAGTGGCCTCACAAACGTCTTGTACAACCTCAACATGACATCCCAACTCCTGTACTCAATGGTCTTGGCAATGAAGGCAAGTGTGCTGAGCACATTTTTAACCACCTTGTCTACCTGCTACACAACTTTGAAAGAACTACGTACCTGAGCCCCTAGATCTCTCTGTTCAACAGCATTATCCAGGGCGCTACCATAAAATGTATAAATACTATCCTTGTTTGTCTTACCAAAATGCAATATCTTGCATTTATCCATGTTGAAGAACATGGTACTTCCCTGCGACTCTGAACACACGCAGAATTGTAGGTCAGACCCCACAACTTTGGTGAGTTCCTTCCAGAAATGGTCCTTTAAATTCTGTTAGCAAGGAGATGAAAACAGCACAAAGTCTTCTTCTTTGATCATCATCCAGTAAATCATGTTAAAAATAGTCATCGTCATACAGAATGGAAACAGACCCTTCAGTCTAACTCGTCCATGCTGACCAGAGATCCCGATCTGAATTAGTTCCATTTGGCCCATATCCCTCCAAATACTACTTATTCATGTACCCATCCAGATGCCTTTTAAATGTTGTAAATGTGCTCACCTCCATCATTTCCTCTGGTAGCTCATTCCATACATGCACCACCCAGTGCATGTAAAAGGGAATCCCTCAGGTTCCAATTTAAATCTGTCACCTTAAACCTATGCCCTCTGGTTTGGAAACATCACCTCAGCCTCTGCTCAAGGGGTGAAAAAACCCCAGCTTATTCAGCCTGTAGCTATAACTCAAACAGAGATAGTAAGAACTGGTGATGCTGGAGTCTGAGTTCCTCTAGCTCCACACTGTGTTACCTATAACTCAAACTGTCCAGACCCAACAACATCCTTATGAATGTTTTATTTAATGCCTGCGAACCATGGCCTGGATTTTCGATTGGGCAGACAGTTATCATGGCATCTTAGATAGGAGTTGTACTTGGGAACCTATGCAAGCCCAACATAGCATACTCCAAACAAATTGCCTGGATTATTGAATTTTCTATTGGGCATTTCTTATACGCATGGAACATTCCAAAAGTCTCCATTTAAATTTTGTTGGAGCTGAGGAGATTGCCAGTTGATTTGACAGCAGTCTTCAAAATTTGGAATAGATGTGACAGAATAGATAGGAATGTAGTGAATAGAAGACTGATTCCAGTGGTTAAGAGATCCATGAGAGAGTTCAAATACAAGCTGTAAGATTTTTACAGCTAACATTTTACAGGAGAAACTATTCTCCTCCTACACAGTAGTGAGATTGTCGAATACACCACTGAAGTTAGTGTTTGGCAGAAACCGGGAATTAAAGATACTAAAGGTCAGATTATAAGGATGATTGAAGGAAAGTGCAATAAAATGATATAGGAATAGGCATGTGGGTTTAAGGATACTCTGGTGGATAAGCATCAACCAATGGTTGTGCCTAATTGCTTGTTTCTATTTGGTAATTGCTATAGCAATTTTATACTTTTAAAAAAAATCATTCGCTGAACATGTAGGCGAGAAGATAACATGCTTTGACAAAACTTAGTTACAAACAGGGATCAAAATAAGCTTTCTGACTTGAGGGCTACAGTTTGATTTTCAGGGGCAACCTGTTCATTCCCTCCAATTCATTCATTAAATGGTGCTGTTTCGTAGTAACAGTACCTTCTTTGAATTGACATGAAGTATTTGGACATGCTCACAGCAGACAGAAAAATCAATATCCTCAATATCAACTTCCATTTAACATAAAACCATATCCTACAAAGAGAGCATTAATTTCCTGGGCATTACAATATTAAATGAGTACAAGGTAACAGACCTGAGTTAACAGAAAATATTTTCAAAATAGTTGACACTTCTACACATGAGCCTTCACCCTAAACACTTTCAACAGAATGAAGAGGACGCAGCCAACGTGTTTCCATTGTACATGCATGATGCTGGAACATTTTAGCAAGACCATTCCAACCCTATTTACTGCATTTTGGATTTCAATCCCAAACTTAAATTTAATAATTGCCAGTGTTCATTACAGTTGGACCCACTGCATGTTTACCAAATAAAGTAAGTCCTGACTGCAAGCAGGCCCACACTAGACATTTCACATTCATTTGCAAATATTACCTATCTTAGTGTTTTGAGGTTTTCTTGGATTGCTGTTAGCTAAGTATTCATTTGCTGTCCAGTTCAAAACCTTTTTTTTCTCTTCTTTGTAGTCTCCCTGTGCTGCCATAACCCTCTTGCAACCCATTCTTCTACTACTCCAACCATCTTGCTGCGTCATCTTCGACGACATACAAATGTGGTACCTCATTCTGTGTTCTCATCACTTGTACTGCCCACTCCAGCCTCCTCACTCCTTTTGGGAGTCCCGGCATATCTTACCCATTGGTCGTTCTTGCTCGCCTGCTCTCTTGTTCTCTCTACAAAACACTTCTTGCGTGGCTACAGACCTTCCATTCTGACTTTTCTTTCATTTCAGTTTTGCCTTTGATTAAAATCACCAATGTTGATATCTTTGACAGTAACCATATATAATTTTAACAATATTAACAAATTCCTTTATAGTGTAAATATAATGTTAGATTAAAAAAACCACAATCAACCCCCAGCCAATCTGTACAAAATAGTATACTGCATGAAGCAGATAGCATTCTAACTTCTGCTTTTGTTCTTTGCCATGGGAATCATAAGTATTATTTTTGCTGTTTTCGACTTGATAAACAAATATAAGATATGTTAAATGGTTCTTAAAAACAGCTGCCATTCTTGCAGTGTAATCATGGTCTCCTTTACAACAGTCTGCACAGGATTTGTTCTGTATACCTTCCTGGTGTACTGCCAGAAATTAATCAGCCAGTGAGCTTGCTGAGTAACCTAATTGAGCCTAGATACCCTTAGCTAAGCTTCCATTTTATGCTTGTATGTACCTAAGTTCCCATGCAGTTATTTATGTCTAAAACCATTATTTAATATTCATCCTGAATTAACCAGAGAGAATACACTGTTAACGTTTGTGTTAAAAGCACTATATTGCATTGTAATTGGTTTTATGGGCTAGATTAGTTATATGCGAGGTTGTAGTACAACCAATTTACCCAAGGTCAGAACCTCCGTATGATGCAGTAAGGTATTTGCACCATGACCCAATGAACAAGTAATGCTGTATTGCAGTAACCTAGTTTTGTGCAGCTTCTTTAAATAATGATTTGTTGGAGTTTGACATTGGAGATGAGTGTTAAAATGTGCAGTTGAATTTTTAAATATTGTGTTTTAATGTTGTTTTGCTGATTGGTAACCAAGTACAAGCCAGGAAATGTGATGTACTGTTCTTAAACTAAGTTTTCCAATTAAATAAAATAATGTTTGGCAGCAAAATTGTGATTGGAAACCGAGTTGGCCATAATCCTGGTTTAAAAATATGGGGAAAGAAATAAAAGCACTGGAAGCATTCAGTACTTCTGTTAATGTTTCTGATGGAAGCATTTCAAATGAGTAGCCTTCAGAATTGCAAAATGTGATGGGCATATTGTGGTCAAAAGTAGGAAGGGAGAACATGCAGGAGAAGCTTGAATAAAATTATTTTCTCAGTTAAGGCAGTGTGGCTGAATGGCTGACAGCAAGGGGTGATGAGTCAGTGGGTGTTAGCTGCTGGGGGACTTATGGGATAAGTATTGAGACAGCTGCTTGTAATATTGGTAAATAAAATTCAGGATAGAATGTTTTCTAAGCTGCAGTTTGTAGCTGACACCATCACTTCCATTTTTCTAAGCCTCCCATTCCTCGTCATTTACATATCCCTTTGTTATATTTATATCGTGATGCCCCTCCCTGTTACTTGGCTGTGATCTGTTGGATCACTTCACTTACTCTCATTGATCATAAAATCCCTACAGTACAGAAAGAGGCTGTTTGGGTTCTACTGACCCTTCAAGCGCATCGCACCCAGATACCCCACCCCATAACCCTGTATTTACTACTTGTGCATCATCACCCATTTGTGTCAGCCACAGTTTGTTTGGTAGCATGCTTACCTTAGGATCATCGATTCCCACTTCAGAACATGAGCACAAAAAAAAAACAAGGCTTACACTCTAGTTCAGTACGAAGAGTATTGCACAGTTGAAGATTTTTTTTTGAATGAGCTGTCAAACCAAGGCCCCATGTGCCTGTTGGGATCCCATGGAACTGTTTTAAAGAAGAGCAGGGAAGTTGTCCTCTATCCAGGCCACTGTTTATGCCTTGGTCAACATTATGAAGAACAGATTATAGTATCTGATTGTCATCATATTTTTGTGGGAGTTTGCTGAATATAAGTTAGCTGCTGCATTTCCTACTATAGAATGGTAATTATTCTTCAAAAGTACTAGCTTTGTGATTGTGATAGAAGAACTGTGGCAGTTGAGCCACACTACTTGGCCAGTTGCACCATAATTCAGTCACCCAAATAACCAATTGATTCCCTTTTATACGACAGTTATTTCTGCTATAACGCGATATTGTTTTCTTGTGTTACTTCACGCTTTAGAAAATCGTGTTATAGGGAAATCGTTATGTGTACAGCAGAAAGTTCATGTTATCCAAACAGCATCCACTATTCATCAATCGCATTACAGCCAATTTGTATTAACGAAACACATGTAATAGCAGAAATACCTGTATAATCCAGAATAAATGAAAGTTTCACCAGATTTTAAAAAAAAATGAACTCCAAATAATCTATTTATTATAACACATCTGATTCTTAAAATAAGTGACAAACATTAGTTAGCATCTAAACTATAATGCAGAATAAGAACAATATACCTTCAATCACAAAAACAAAGACGCAGTCCATAAAAGACAATGCTATCTGCAGAGATGATATAATTTGATTTCTTACAGTCCACCAGGTTTCCTGCTGATGAAATCAAATTGCTGACAGCTATAGAGTGATAGAAGGTCTTCAGTTTGGATTGAAATCAAACTGGATCTGAGTCTTTGGAAACTCCACAGTTCAGGGTCTATAAAGTAGTCCAAAATAGCAATCTTGTGAAACCATCAGCTCCTAGGGCTTCTTTCTTACTGGCCTTTTAGTTTACTTTTCTTTTTTAAAGACCAAAGTCCAGGAACTGATGCAAGAAAATCATCAGCACAGAGGCTTCCACAGCCTTAAAGCCAGGATTTTCAGCATTTAAGGACCACAAACTCTGTCTGTTATTTCCCTGAAAGCTTTCTTTTCCCTGTGATTACTTTATGTATACAACAGGTAAGCCATAACGCACATTAAACTGTTGACTTTATTTATAAAAAAAAAGTAAAACCCTTTCAAATCCAGAAAATCCCCAAATAGTTCCATATCTTGCAGCTTTGTCACGTATTCCTTAAATGTAAATATGTATCCCCAACACTTAATTGGCTGTAACGAGCTTTGACACATTTAGTGGTCATACAAAACGCAAGTCTTTATTGCTGTTAGCTTGCCATCGTGTGCTAACTACATTTCATTGTATCCCTTACAAACTGATGATCTGGACCAGCTATAAGCTGCTTTTACCAAAGGTTAGTGAGGGAAACCTTGGAAGTTTCAAATAAACCTCTCCAAATTAATTGGAGTTCATTTCCTCCTCTGTATCTCTAAGAATTTGAGTCCATCATTCGGATCTGAATAGGAAGTTTATTTGCCAATTTAGTTAACTGGTTTTGCCCTGCATAGAGAAGGTAATTCCCTTCAATCAAAGTTGTACCATGATTGAGAATAGCAAAACTATTTAGAATTTGAGGAGTGAATAGCGTTAGCTCATTCTACAAATCTACAATTTCTACAAACTGAGAGAATGAAATTATCAGCGAGTTGAATAATTTGCAAATCACACATTCATTATGCATAAAAAATCCTATTATAGATGAACTTATATATCTCATCCTAAAACTGTAATAAATTTTTCCGCAAAATGTGTTTTTTGTGTTGTTGAAACTGATATGATGACATAGACTGCATGTTTACACAATAACTTGGCCCTAAAGTTCCTGAAGCCCTAAGGGTTTACTTGGTTCATATCTGGGTTTGTTGTGGGCTAGAATCATTTTATTTTTATTCTTTTCAAGGCACGTGGTTATAACTGGCAAGACAAGCATTTGACCATCCCTGATTTCCCTTGAACTTCGCTGTCTGGCCATTTCAAACTGTGGTTAACAGTCCATCTCAATCCTGTGAGTCGAGAGTCACTGGTAGGCTAGACAAGGTGAGGACGACAGATTTGCTTCTCTGAAGAGTGTTAGTAATCCAGATTGATTGCTGTAAGAACCTATGATAGTTTAACTAATTACATTGTAATTCAGTTCACTATTCTGGACTATAAAGCTAGGCATCTGCCCTGGTTGGAATTGAAGTCCCAGAGCCTCTGGATTACTTGTGCAGTGACATTACACTGCACCACCACTTTTCCTCATTCTATGGTTAGTCACAGCTCTAATATAATTGAATCATGCAATCACCGTGGTGGTGGTTGGTGAACTAGATTGAACTTGAATAAAATAACGTGCAGATGCTGAAAATTTGAAACAAAAACAGAAATTCATGTAGAACCTCAACAGGTCTGGCAGCATCTGTGAAGAGAGAAAGAGTTAACTGTTTCAAATCTAGTGACCCTTCTTCAAAACAGATTGAACTTAATCTCATTGTGTTCTTAAATTCCTGTGTGCACGAGGTAGAGAGTACTTTGAGTTGTTGAGCAGACAAGGAAAGGCATGTTACATTCTATACCAGGACAATTAAATTTGGAGACCGAGTAAGCTGGACTGTTTTTGCACACTAGCTTATAGCTGTCAAAGTTCTGCAACAGCTTACTTGCCTCTTCCTGCTGTCAGGATTAAACTGCAGCTGAACTGCCTCTACTAACAGAAATGGTTGCGAAATCATCCTGTATCCTTGCAGTTATCATCCTGCTGTATTTTTAACTTACATTTGTGATCTTAACAGTTGGATTGATCCACCTAAACGCTTTGGCAATTAACAGTATTAGATCCATTGTTATCTAAAATTATTTCACTTGTCTCAGGAAGTAATGGTACTAATGGTTCCAACCAGCATGTTTACACCTTTTGGTTACAGGCTTTACGTTTTTGCATCTAGAATGACTTAGCAGTAAAACCTAAAGAAAATCCAACACTAAGTCACAATTGCCAAATCAGATTGTAGAATTTTCACATTCTTGTGTTGTTCAGGAGCTCCGAAAGGACATTTGATGGGCTTAAAATAGTTATGAAATAGTTAAAGCATTAAGTGCATCCCCGTGTTTTAAAATGTAACTGCTTAAAGGTTAAGTACTTTAAGTAGTGTTTTCTTCATCTGACAGTTTAAACTGGTGAGTGCTTTGTCATAGTTTTGTTAGAAGCTGAGCTCAATTTGGTTCAGGTCATTGACTGCAGCACCATCATTCACCAGCAGCACATTGTGGCTGCAGTGTGTGCATGAGGTAAAACGTAGCCAGCTGTTAACGTGACTTAACAGCATTTTAAAAACTAAAATTAATTTAACCTCTGAATTTTAATCCACAAAAGAATAGCTCCCCCTTCAGGATCAGTGACTCAGTGGACCATAGAAAAAGGGTCTCGACCCGAAACGTCAGCTTTCCTGCTCCTCTGCTGCTTGGCCTGCTGTGTTCATCCGACTACATCTTGTTAACTCAGTGGACCTTTTTTTTTTCAAAAAAAAAATGCCTTGCTCAAGATATGTAAAATTGTTAATTCATTAGTGATAACTGATTCAACTTTGCAGATGAATCTAAAACTACAAACTATGAATAACTATGAGATGTATAAATGTACTCGATAGGAAAATGGAACTTTTTTTTATTCCATGGTTTGAATATGAACTTAGTTGCCACGGAAAAGGGTTGAAGCAAACAAATTTGCTTCTCAAAAAAACCTAACAAGTACATGAGAAAAAAGGGCTTGAAAGATATGCTCTGAAGTTAAGATACGTTAGATGGCTTGGGAGGAAAGCTGTACAGAGTATAGAGATCAGCATAAACTGGTTGGACTGAATGACCTGTTTCTGTAATGTATATTGTGTGTGAAGTAACCAAGTCATTGTTGGCAGTACCTCAAATATACAGCCTCCACCATACAATGGCAGCAGGTGCACAGGAACATTATTACTTTCTTGTCTCGCATCTTTCTGACTTGAATATAATGTTCCTGTTCCTTGTGTATTGCTTGGTCACAATTCTGGGGCTGACTCCCAAACAACGCCATGGAGGGACTTCACTACATGGACCGCACCACTACCCTGGGACATTTAGGGAAAGACAGTAATTCATGGCCATGCAGGTGATGCCCACAGCGCAGTTTCTTTTTAAAACAAAGTGATTTAAATTGTGCTTTGATATAATTGTGTTTTTATTCTGCGTTCAACACAGATTGTTGTGTATGGATCTGAAAGGGTTAATACTGAGTTATGCCATAAGCGCTGACTACTATGGTAATGACTTTTAGCTTTGTGGGTAGAACAACTTAGGATCTAGAAGAGTGAGACCTAACAATTGGTCCTCTTCGAGTGTCTACAGCAATGTCTGTCTATTATTGTTCTTTGTAACTAATTGCAAATTTGTAATAAACTATACTTTTTTAAGTACAAAAGACTCTTCTGGCTAGACCAGGAAAAGATTTTCTTCTACCACACCAGGCCAAGCAAGCCCTTTAGTTTCCTATACTTAGAAGGCTCTTCATTAGCAGCAGCTCATACAGCATTGAGAGTTGACGTGCCCATACGCATTGATAATCCCAGATTAGATATACATTCCATTGTATAACTTACAAAATACAACTTTAACATTCTTTGTGTCAGAAGGGTTGACCTACCTCAGCTCTGTGTGAAAGAGGTACAGCATGTCCTGTTGAATAGGGTCATAATCCATTGATCTTGGAGCTGCAGAATATCTGTTATGGTGTATGATGTGCCAAATGTACAACATGTACTCATCAAGCTCTCATATGGATTGTTCCAGACACCATAAACTGTGCTAAAGTGCCAGGTCTTTATTATTTGCTTTACTGATTTTTATTTTGTATATTTTTTCTGTTCTTTCAAATTCACTTCATCAAAATCAAACTTATTTTCTTCTATTTGGTACCTGCTTTCACATGGCTTTGTTCATAACTGATTTTGATTAGCAATTGCAGTCTGCATTGCTGTCACTGTCAATTATTTCTTGGGTCACTTTATGCACTGCAGATATTCCACCATTTCATTTTTTTTTTATAAACATGGAGAAGCACAGCAAATAGAGAAGAAGGGTTCAGGAGGTAGTTGTAGAGCTGAATGAGGTTTGAGATGGAATAGTTCAAGTCATGATAGGATTTAAGTATAACTTAAACTCTGAGTTTGAGGCCTAGGTAAGAATAGTAGTGATATGGAAGAAGTGTTTGATGTGGGGAAGAGTGCACAGTTTTGGATGAACTGAAGCTTACGGAGGGCAGAGTTTAGGACTTGTGAATATAGTTGGATTGGTTGCGGTCAGGATCGCTCTCGTGCTACCCAAACGTATTGTGCAAAAATGATGGGTATATGTTTTCTTGTACTGCAGATTTTGTGTTTTCAGGTTAAAATAATCATACTAAATTATTGTAGGTGCAGTCTGGATCTCCAAGTATTTAATGAAATATAAAGTCTGCATTAAATATGCTCAAGGACTTCCTATTAATTTTATTCCAAATGATTTTACTTACACAGGTAATCTGCTCACTTTGGGTTTCTCAGTTTTGAAGCAAGTGCTTTCATTGGATAGAAGTTAACAGCAGTTAACAACTGCCAGCAATTAAATGTCCTGCATGGGAAAATTGGGCAATTGGATTGGATACTGGTGAGTGCTTTTGTATTGAACTCTGTACTGGACTGCACTTTTCTTTCAGATTGGGAGAGAAAAGAAACCAAAACACGCCTGCAGTTTGAAAGCACAGTTTCACCAAATCTTTTTCCAAGGCCATTGCTTATGTTTAGAAAACAAATTGACACAGTGAAAGATTTACCTGCTGTTAGAAATGTAAGAGCAAACTCATTGCAGAATCAACCCAGAGCATCATTAGTTGCTTTAAATATGCAGTTTTGAACACAATTGTTTGTGACCTTGTGATCCAAAATCAAACATTGGAACATATGACTATGAAGATTAAAATCAGTGGAACTGCAGAAGTGTAAAAGAATCAGGTTCAGGTGATTGTTTTTAATTGTATTCTGAACTGTAGTAACTTTCTACTTTGGAGGTGGGTTATCGTCATCTTTGGTGGTGTGACTATGAAGTTAATACGCTTAATGTTTAACACTAGTTTATTTATACTGCATGGAAGGTAATTGTCTGAAATAAAGATCTCTGGATAATGACAGTTGTTCCAGCCTGTATGATCTGTACACGCAGTGTGTTGACCCTTAAACACTTACAGAATGATGTAACCTCATGAATGCTTGTAATTTGGAACTCAACTCTCCAAAGCAGCAACACCCTTAGTGGTGTTTATTTTGTCAATCCTTAAAATACACACATTTTGGTTGAAGTGGGACACAATCTTGTCAAACATTTATCTGATTTATGCTTGACAGTAACTTGCTTTCTAAATACAGTACAGTAATTCCTCCATATCCACGAGGGTTCCACTCCTGAAAAAACCCGCAAATGATGAAATTTGCAAGTGCGCAGTTAGCTTAAAAAAAGGTTTAAAATGGTTAAAATATCATAGATATGCGATTTTTGCCCATGGATGTTGATTTTTGATATTTATTATTTTTTGGTGTGAATAAGCAAATTCATGGTTTTGCTGATATTGGAGGACTTATTGTATAAATAATTTATTGACTGAACAAACTTGCCACTAAGAATCTGAGAATTAGTCTTGTGGTGAATGTAAACGTTGAAAGCAAAGTATATAAGAAGAAACTAGTGTTTGCAGCATAAGGTAACCTACATGTTCGTTTAGTTGCCATTCATACTGCTGATGAAAGGTAATTGAGGGTAGGTGGGATATAGATTTAAAGGTACAATCAGGTCAGCTGTGATTTTTGTTTTCTCAGTGGCGTACCAGGCTAGTGCAGTTGAATGGCTTACACCTGATTTGTATGTTTGTGTAGGAATATAAGCACGTTTCTACATTTCAGTATCATGTTTGGGTGGTGGCAAAATGCCAGTAGGATTGCATTTCGCTTTAAGATGTTGCAAAGTGTATTGCACCTTTTACTCGGTTAAACATAGCAGCCAATTTGATGCTCCCAAAATCCCATTAATGGTATGAGTTGAAACAGATGCAGTTTCAACAAAATTGACAACTATTCATTGGTCCAGACATTTCCCTGAGAAATTAACCAATCAGTTAACCCGTCTGAGTTTAAAATTTAAACACAGCTTGGCAGTTAACTGTCAATTAGCATTTACTAGTGCATCTGTGACAACACCTCTGCTAATCAGAGTTTACTTGCTGACTAATCAGCACTGTCCACTCATACAGTATGAATATTAGTTTCCTCTTAAATTAATGTTCTTGCAAATTATCTTGAATGAAAGATAAAAAGCTTTGACAAAATCTTCCAATTAGCTTGCTGTTCAATTTTGGGTACATCCTTTTGGATGCTTAAAGCTGTAATGACTGTAAAATGCTAATTTGTTGTGTTTTTTGTCTAACAGTGAAAACCAAGTGCATCTTGAAGATCAAATTCTGCCCCCGCACCTTCAACTCTCAAATACTGAAACAAAAGGATCAGTGAACTCCAGCTATGTCTTACGTGGAGAGTGGACAGTTTGTGGATTGGGACAAAATTACTGACCTGGAGAAAGATAGTCCTGTGGTCCTGTCCCGCATAGATAGCAACTTGTTAAAGCAGTACGCCAGACAAGGTTATTGGGCGAAGAGCCACTCTCTCAGAACAAAAATCTATGAACAAATTATCAAAGCTGTCTCATGCAGGACAGTGACTCCTGATGCTGAGGTGTACAAGGATATTGTTGGAAAGATCACAGGAAAAAGAAATGCCTCCACTCTGCCACTGCCAGAATTTGTGGATGGTAGTGCAGTGCCAGACTATTGTCTGAACACAGACGGAGTTGTTGCAGTTAGGAAGATTGTGGTTTGTATTTCCAACCAGTTTCCAGACATCTCTTTCTGTCCTGTGCTGCCAGCCATTGTAGCACTGTTGCTACATTACAGTACTGATGAAGCAGACTGCTTTGAGAAAGTGTGCCGGCTCTTGGCTTGTAATGACCGTACGAAACACTTCATAGATCAAACTTTCTTGGCCTATGAGTCCTCTTGCATGACCTTTGGAGACCTAGCCAACAAATACTGCCAAGGTGCCCACAAGCTGATAGTGAGTGCTTCAGAGGATGTCCTGGAGGTTTACTCCGATTGGCTGCGATGGATTTTTGGAGACCTGCCCTTTAACTACGCAGCCCGCGTGTTGGATATCTTCTTTGTCGAAGGATTTAAAGTACTTTACAGGGTAGCACTGGCTCTCCTCAAGTTTTTCCGAAAAGTCAGAATCAGACAGTCTGAAAAATCTGCTGACATTCGAACTGATATACAGAACTTCATTCAAGGAATTGCTGAGCACGTCCCAGTTGAAAAGCTGTTGGATAAAGCGTTTTCTATTCGCCTATTCTCAAGGAAGGAGATCCGTTTACTTCGAGATGCCAATGAAAAAGCACTGAAGCAAAAAGGCATCACTGTAAATCAGAAGAGGTGATTGAGCATATTTTAGTGCTGGAATAAATCAGGGATCTTAAGAACAAAACAAGCTTTCTGATGCATAACCTTATTAAACAGAGTTTATCAGTTGTTGACTCACTGGGAGCTGGAAGGAAATTCAATCCTTTGTCCTTAACCAATACTGAAGTTTGACAGTTTAAGCAAAGACAATGTTAAATCTTTTAATGAAGCTGCAGAGGAATAATTGCAACTATTGTACACCCTTAAAGTTGTAGAAAGCACTCTCCTGTTGCCCCCATCTCCTCTTCTCCTCCCCACACCTTACTGCTGTATAACTGAATCATATATTATCCCATCGACTTGCTCTTTTAATAAAAGATAGCATCTTGTTACCCTTCTTGATTATGCACTTTTGCACTAACATTTGACTCATACACTAGAGTACCTAGATCCCTCTGCCCATTAGTATTCCACATTGTTATCCATTTAAGTAATACTCTGCATTTTATACTTCCCGCCAAAATGAACAACTTTACATTTTTCCACATTATTCTCCATGTGTCAGATTTTTAACCACTCACTCCACCTAACTATACCTACCTGTTAGCTCATCTCCACAACATACCTTCATAGTCATGTTTGAGTTCTCTGCTTTAGTTACCATCCCTTTGTTCCCCTCATCCATGTAATTGATGTAAAAAAAAAATTAGGCCCCCACACACATCCCTCTACTCATAACAACTTGCTGATCAACAAAAAGCCACTTTTGCACACATTCAGATTGAATGACTAGCAGAAACCAAACCATGCTGATATGTTACCCCCCTACACCATAAGCTTTTATTTTCTGCAATAACTTTTGATGTGGCACCTTAGCAACTGCCATCTGGAAATCCAAGTATAGTGTATTTATAGGGCTTCTGTTTATCTGCAGCATTAGTTAATCCTTCAAATAACTCAAATAAGTTATTAAGACATAGTTTTGTGAAAAGTAAATTATGCTGACTTTTTTTTAAACTTTAAAGTTTTTTCTAAACTTTACCGATAGGTTCTAACACCTCCATGACAGATGTCAAACTAACTGGCCTACAGTTTCCTGTTTTCTGTCCTTCCCTGTCTTCTTGACTAGAGGAGTTGCATTTGCTACAGATTGATGAAACTGTTGCCGAATCTAGGGAATTTGGAAAATTAACACCAACACGCCTACCACCTTATCAGCCACCTTTTTCTAAGACCCTAAGATGAAGTATGCCTAGACTCAAAGCTTAAGTTTTGCATTTTGCATGTTACAGTCACAAGGGAAGTGGTACTTTTAGCAAGTTCCTCTTTCCCTTGCATTTCCTGATTTACAGCTGTTACTGGAATGGATTTAGTATTTATGCAGCGTGGGCAAAGGTCCTTTGACCGGGCCATCTAACTTCCATCTATTCTAATCTCATTTTCCAGCACTTGGCCTGTAACCTTGAATGTTGTGGTGTCCTGAGTGCTCAGCTAAACTGTTCTTGAATGTCTTAAGGGTTCCTACCTTCTCAACCCTTTTGGTCAGTGAGTTTCAGATTTCCACAACCCTCTGGGTTTTAAAAAAAAGTTTTCCACGCGTCACCTGTAAACCTCCTGCTCCTTTCTTTAAACCTGTGTCTCTGTACTGATCCCTGGACTAAGGGGAAAAGTTTGTCTCTGTATTTCCTGTCTATGCCCCTCTGAACTTTGAATATCTCAATTCCTCACCACACCAGCCTTCTCTGCTGGAAGGAGAATAACCCCAGCTTACATAACTGAATTGCTCCAGCCCAAGCAATATCTTAGTAAATCTTTTCCATCCAGTTCAGTTACATCCTTCCTATAGTGTGGCGGCTACATGCAGTACTCCAGCCGAGGCCTAATTAACATTATATGCAGCTGCTTTATAATCTTCTTGCTCTTGTATTCAATGCGTTGACTAATAAAGGCAAGTATCCATTATGCCACTTTAGCCACTTCAAAGATCTCTTGACATGGACACCAAATTCCCTCTGATCCTCTGCACTTCCGTGGGTCCTACCGTTCAGTGTGTGCTCCCTTGCCTTGTTAGGCCTCCCAAAAGGCATCACCTGAATTTTTTTCAGGATTAAATTTCATGTGCCATTGTTCAGCCGATCTGTCTAGAATCCCTACAGTGTGGAAGCCGGCTATTTGGCCCACCAAGTCCACACTGACCCTCTGAAGAGCATCCCAACCAGATCTGTCCCTGTAAGCCTGCATATCTGATGGCTAATTCACCTAACCTGCACATCTTTTAGACTATGGGAGGAAACCAGACCACCCATGGGAAACCCACACAGTCATGGAGAGAATGTGCAAACTCCACACAGATAGTCACCAAGGCTGGAATCGAACCTCTGTCCCTGGCACTGACAGACAGCAGTGCTAACCACTGAGCCACCTACATCATCCTGTAGTCTAAGGCTTTCCTCCATGCTATCTACCACTTCCCAATTTTCATGTTATTTGTGAACTTGCTGATCATGCCTCCTACATTCCTGTCTAAATGTTCATGTGCACCATAAAACAGCAAAGGACCTGGGGTTCTAGTCACAAAAACACCCTTTGACCATCACCGTCTGATTCCTGTGACTAAAGCAATTTTGGATCCAATTTTCCTGGCAAATTTCCCTGAATCCCATGAGCTCTTCGCTGCTTAATCTGTCTGCTATGTGAAACTTTGTCAAGAGGTCCATGTAGACTACATCAACTACACAACTCTCATCTTCACACCCAGTTACTTCCTCTCAAAATTCAATCAAATTTGTTCAACCTGACGAAGCCATGCTGACGATCCTTAGTTAATCATTGTCTCTCTAAGTGAAGATAATTCAGTACCTTAAATTTTTTACCGTACCTTCTGTACCACAAGAACGGTTTTCTTACTCCTCTAGTGAAGACAGAGAAGCAAAATGTTTATTAATTTCATCCACCTTTCCCTATCTGCTATTAATTCCCCAGACCCACTCTCTAGAGCACCAACAATCACTTTAATTACTCTTTTCCTTTTTAAATACCAGTAGAAACTTGTGATATTCATTTTTACGTTTCTAGCCAACCTCCTCCAGTCTTTTTTTCCTCCTGATTAATCTTTATTATTCTCTGCTGTATTTAATATTTCTGATCAGCCTTCTGACCTACAAATCATCTTTACATCATAATGTTTTTATCCTTTCTCTACTTACTTAACCATGGATGGTGGTTCCTCCATTTTGACTTTTTTCTTTTATAGTAAGATTGTGCTCCACTGAGAAACTACCTTAAAAGCATTCTATGAACTTTATATCCAAGTTGGTACCACTAGTATAATTTCCCAGTTTGTGCATGGATTAAAGACGCTCATGATCATTTGTCCCTTTACCACAAACACCCAATGTTTTTTCTTGTGTGCTTGGTCCTACATTGTGGTTACTGTTAGGGGGCCACTACTAATTTCTTTTCACTACAATTTCACATCTCCATCCAAACTAATTCTACATCCTGATCTCCTGAACCAAGGTCATCTCTAACTACTGTACCAATTCCAATCTTGATTAGTAGTGTCCCTCCATTTTTACCTGGCTTCCTATTCTTCTTGGATGTCATATTCTCTTTAATTGTCCGGACCCAATACTTGTCTGGCATCAACATCTCTGTAATGGCTAGCAAATCATTTTTATTAATAAAACACACAAAATGTATGAATGCTACACATATTGGGGTGCAGAGTCTTTAGTTTCATCTTTTTATTATCTTTGTAGCATCTATCCTTGATTGGTGCATTCTTTGATTCTTTTCTCCTTATCCCTTCCTGCCATTCTGTGACCCTCATTTCTCATATTACTATTCTCCTTTCTTGCCCTGTCTGCACTCTTTGAATGTTGAGGTTGATTGGCTCACCGAGCTGGTTTGTTGTTCCGCAGACGTTTCATTACCGTGCTTGGTAACATCCTCAGTGCAGCCTCTGATGAAGCGTCAGTGTGTTTTCCCGCCTGGTTTTTAAACTCTGGGGTCCGTTGTGATGGATTGCCTCGCTTCTGGGTTTCCTCCGTAGTGGAATGTATATGGGGTCAAGTTCAATGTTGTTTATTAATAGCATGCTTCGTGCAGTGCCATGCTTCCAGGAATTCTCGTGCTTGTCTCTGCCTAGCCTGTCTCAGGATCTTGGTGTTGTCCCAGTCGAAGTCGTGGTTCTCCTTGTCCATGTGGATTGAGATAAGTGAGTATTGGTCGTGTCTTTTTGTAGCCAGTTGGTGTTCATGTACTCTTGTTGTTAGTTTCCTTCCTGTTTGTCCGATGTAGTGTTTCTCTCAGTCTCTGCAGGGGATCTTGTAGATGACACTGGTCCTGTCCATGGTGGGGAATGGGTCTTTAGTTCGGGTGAGCACTTGTCGTAGGGTTGATGTGGGCTTGTGTGCCACTCTGATGCCCAGCGGTTGTAGAAGTCTTGTGGTGAGTTCTGACGTGTTCCTGATGTAGCGTAGTGCGATGAGTGTGTCGGGGCATGTAGAATCTTTCTGATGCTGTTCCCGTAGGCATCTCCTGACCCAGTTCTTTGGATATCCATTATCCTTGAACACTTGGAAGAGGTATTCCTCCTCCTTGGCGTAGTTCTATGTTGCTGCAGTGTGTTGTTGCCCTTTTAAATAGTGTTCGCACGCAGCTTCGTTTGTATGTGCTGGGATGGTTACTATTGAAGTTCAATACCTGGTCTGAGAGCGTGGCTTTTCGGTGTACTTTCGTTTGCAGTTCCCCATTTGTCTTGTGCTCTACCATGACGTCCAGGAATGGGAGCTGTTTGTTCTTCTCTCTGGTGAATTTTATTCCGGTGAGGGTGTCGTTTATGAGTTTGTGTGTCTCTTCTAGTTTGGTCCGTTTAATGATGACAAAGGTGTTGTCTACGTAGCGTATCCATAGCTTAGGTTGGATTTGCGGAAGGGCAGTCCTTTCCAGTCTTTGCATCACTGCTTCTGCTATGAGTCCGGAGATAGGCGATCCCATGGGTGTCCCGTTGATTTGCTCGTATGTTTGGC